GCCAGGTGTGGTGGCATGCACCTGTAATTCCAGCTACTGGGGAGGCGGAGGTGGGAGGATTGTTTGAGCCCAGAAGTTTGAGGTTACGGTGAGCTGGGATTGTGCCACTGCCCTCCAGCCCGGGCAACAGAGAATGAATGAACGAATGGATGGAGACTCGGGTATGATGAGTGTTTGCTGAAGTGTGGGGCACATGGCCACTGATGGGACATGAGATTGAAAGCAGTAAGTAGACCTGGTGTTAGAAGGAATCGACTGGGGTCATGAGGAACAGCTGTCCCTTCTCAGTTCTCTGTCATCCCTTCTCATTCCAACAAGCAAAAAGTCTCTGCTGGGTACTACATTCCCTTTAACACCCCTCCAGCGCTTGCTGGCCTTTTATAACAAAATCAGACAGCCATGCTGTGTTTCCATTGTACTTTTATTTTAACGGCTACTGTCTGTTTATGGCATCTGATTCTCTAGTGATAAAAAACAAAGTGTCCTTTTCAAATGTACTTATTTAGGTTAAAAAAGCAGGGAGACATTATATGAAGGTCAAGAACAGGCAAATTTTACCTGTGATGCTAGGCCTAGAATAATGGTTACTTTTAGGGGGTTCTGGCCAGGAAGGGACACAAGGGAGCTCTCTCAGGTACTTGGAGTGTGAACATTCGATATCTTGATCTGGGCAGCGGTTACTCGGGTATAAAAATTCATTAAGCTTAACATTAAATTTAAAGCTATGCATCTCTCAATAAAAAAGAAAACAATATGGGTCAATTTGAAGATAAATATTAAGTTTTAGTACAACAAAATTCATGCAGAGGAACTTGTATGGTCAAAATTTGAAGAGCAATGACCTGGGTGACCTTGAGGGTTCCTTCTGGCACATAGGTTCTGAGTGTTTTGGAGGTCTAAGTCCCAGGATTGGCCAGCACAGTGATGGCAGACCCTCTTGGAGCTAGGGGCACTCGCAGGATGGTGGGCACTTCCAGTGAGGCCTGCAGATGCCATCAGAAGAGCCCCTTCCTTTCCCAGCCCCCAGCTTCTTCCTACAGCGCCTGGTCTTGGTACCGCTCAGCCCCAGCTTCCTTTCTCCCTGCACATTGGCCCGAGCCTCAGCTGCATCTATCATCTGCTTCAAGCTCATTAAAATTATTTCTTTTTAGTTGCAAATGGGCTGTTTATGATGATCATTATTTGAATGGTCTGCGCCGGGCTCCGGGCTGTCTGTCTGCTGCTGATGGCCGGTTAATCAGATGAGTCTCCTCCCTGCCTGGGCCTGGCCCAAAGTCTGGGGCTGTGTTAATCATGAATCCCCCAGGGCCGGGGGCCAGGGGCCAGGTGGGAGAGGATGCCGACTTCTGCTTGATTATCGAAGGAGAGGCCCTGCGAGCTGCATGTGTGGTGGCTTGGACACGAGTTTCTAAAACTCGACTTCAGACCCGTGATTGTTTATGACAGAATTTTTTTGCTGTTCCTTCAAATAAATATAGTGCCATGAGCTTTTTAATTTTGGATGTGTTTATTTTAAAAGACCCTTGTTGATGTGATCATTGCCCCTCTTGCTTTGTTAATGCTCAGATATCCTTTCTTTTAGGGCGGGAGGGAGTGGTTTTTAATGTCTTTGCTTGATACAGTAACATTTGACAATTACCTGTCAGTCTTTTTTTTTTTTTTTTGAGACAGAGTCTCACTGTGTTGCCCGGGCTAGAGTGCTGTGGCATCAGCCTAGCTCACAGCAACCTCAAACTCCTGGGCTCAAGCGATCCTCCTGCCTCAGCCTCCCGAGTAGCTGGGACTACAGGCATGCGCCACCATGCCCAGCTAATTTTTTCTATGTATTTTTAGTTGTCCAATTAATTTCTTTCTAATTTTAGTAGAGACGGGGTCTCACTCCTGCTCAGGCTGATTTCGAACTCCTGAGCTCAAACAATCCACCCGCTCGGCCTCCCAGAGAGCTAGGATTATAGGCGTGAGCCACCGCGCCTGGCCCTGTCAGTCTTTTTTAAGTAAAATTTTTACTGACTTGTGAAATCTGGAATTCTTGGAATCATCGATCTGGTGGGGTGTTTTCTGAGCTCTCTGTTTATCTAAATATAAGATTAATATCAGTCCATGTTTATTGAACACTTGGTACTGTGCTTGATGCTTTACACATTTATATCATTTAAAACAAGCTCCCTGAACACCCCCCCCAGCTAATAAGGAAGTGGAGCAGAACCCCGCTGGAGAGTAGGGCATTAAAAATTTGCCTTGATAATCCACCAAGGAGATAATCCACACCTCGATTATTAGAATTGACTATAATTTATTTCTGAGTCCCTGCTTGAATCACCTTACAGACACATTAATGTGTTTGTTCCACGGGATGATATATGTTAGGAGCTTAGCCTAGTGCCTGGCACGTGCAAACACTCCATAAATGGTAGTTATGGTTATTATTATTTACTAGTATTATTATTGGTGTTAGTGTGTTTACGGTAGAAATGTAGCAAGAATTCAGGGTTGAAGGATGAGCAGGGATTTAGGCAAAGCTGAGAAGAACGTGAGTATCGGTGACATCATCAGCTCCTCAGTGGCTAAGCAGGAAAGACATCAAAGGCTGGGCTTGCAGCGGGACCAGGGCTGGGGGCACACTCAAGTCCCCCTGCCTTGCCTGGCTCTGCCCTCACTGCAGTGTAGACACAGCAGAAACCCATTTCCCTCTAAGAGATGAAATGCACGGTAATTGTCTTACATCACATCTGACAGTGATTTGCCCCCACAAGCGCCCGTGCGGTGCCGGTGGAGGGAGCCGGGCATAATCGTCTGGTACAGTACATCAGGCGCTTGCGCTTACCCTGCTGTGTGATTTCCTTTCAGAACCTGGGTTGGATGTTTTTAGTGAGGAGTCAAAGTCCAGCCCCCACGAGGTATATTGGTTGCTGTGGTGTGGGGAGACAATGTCCCCAAGATAAGAACGTAGTGTCTAACACATGATAATCCAGAACCGAATGCTTACCCAACTCCCAGTTCTGTTTGTCCTACAGCAATGTAAAAAATCACATCTTTGTCTTCAATAGAGATGAGAAAAACTAAGAAAAACTGTGAGCACTCCACTACCACTCAGATTGACCATGGCATTCCCGTTCTGTCTCCTGCCAAGTGAAATTCTGTCCACCTGGCTGCGCCAACTGGCTAGGTTTTGTCTACCTTTGTCTATTTCTGCAAACACCGATCTCTCCCTAGTCGTAGCTCACTATTTTGGTTATGGTCAATTGTGGTTTCTTTATTGGAAACCGCAATTAGTTTTAAATAATAATAAGCCAAAATCTCCTCTTTTTTTCTTTTCTCGTGATGCCTTGTTCCTTGCCTGGCTCAAAATTCCATGGGGCTTTTAGACTAGAAGCCCCACCGCTCCTCTGAGTGGGAGGACCGCTCTGCGGCGGCGAGAACTGATTTCAGCACCCTGGAGAGCGCCGGCTCCCTCGCCCCTACTTGAATGCGCTACTTTGATGCCTCTACCTTCTCCTTCTAGTCTCATGATTCTCTGAAGAGGTTAGATATTTCCCCAGAAATAGAAACGCTTCCCTGGATTTCTCAAAAAGGGCCCATAAGCCAGAGACACTTGTCCCAGGTTTGGGGTCCCAGGTTTACGGTGCTGTGGTGAACTGCTATTGAGCAGATTTACCGACTCTCAGATGTGACATAAGACAATTACCATGCATTTCGTCTCTTAGAGGGAAAAGGATTTGCAGCGGGTTAATAGTACTTTTATTTCATTATCTAATGGTAAAAGTGTTTCATTGTGTGTGCAAGATGAATGTGTATTAGCGATGACAAATGGGGTCTTTCAGCGCGGTGCTGGGCCTCAGCATACATATGTTAGATTAAAGAGTTCACCCTAGAAATACACTCCCGCATCTGCGTGTGTGTTTTTAATAAATCTGATTGCAGAAATTTATTGCATCACCAGATTTAGGAAATTATGGGGCTTGATTGCTGCAAATATAATCGGGTGATATATACAGAAATGCTCCTCGAGTTATGGTCCAGAAAAAAAGCCCATCTCGAGATGGTGCAGGAAAGCAGCAGACCACATAAACAGAGCATTTCTTGAATTATGCAAATGAAATCTATGACAACTCATGGTAAATTGTACTCTCTGTGTGAAACTGCCACCGTTAAAGTGAAGAAAGCTTCGAGAGGGGTGATCAACTATGTGTGTATGACGACCATCAGACATTGTTAACGTGCATGCGAGCTGGCGCATCCCCCCTGCCTTCCCTCTCTCTTTGCCCCCTCGCTGGTATGTCCTGTAAAAACCTGGTCTGCCGCCTTCCTTGCACACAGGCAGGCAGAGCGCCTTCCAATCCATTTCTTCTGAATCCTGGAGTCGTCAATGAGGTATTTCTTATACTTGAAGTGAACCTTAAATGATTTACTGCAGGATACACAAAAGGTCAGCTTGCTTCTTATTGGCACCTTCATTTTTCCAAAATCTACTGAAATTAAAAAGCCATCTATATCTTAAAAGGCGTATTTATGAACCTTTAAGTGTAAGTAAGTCATAGTTGGAACAGTTCCCACCTCTGATATATGAAAGCTGTCGACAGCACTTTCTTACGCTATAATATGCCCATACAATATGCCGCACTTTACTATTTTGACACGGTTTGGAGATGTTTTCTACAGTTACTGACAAGCTTATGCCATCACTCCTTTGGAAATTTAAGAGGTGGGGCAGGGGGTGGGGAAGAGATGAAAAAAAAAACACAACTCCACCCAACTTTGTATAGGAGAATATTGATCTGGCCCGACTTCCAATGAGCAAAAAAGCTGTCCTGGACTTTTTTTGGTAGCATCTCTAGTTTTGTAAATTATTCATCTGTGCCAGGAGTCAATATCCTGTCTTTGCTCAGCTTTGTAAGTTAAGAAAACTTGTTCAGAATGCTGTTTTGAACGATGATTAAAGAGGAAAAAGAGGAAAAAAATCCTTTTCTTTTCTCTCTCTCTCTTTTTTTTTATTGTTCCAGAAGGAGCTTAATTCCGTCGCTTCCGAGCTGTCTGCGCGGCAGGAGGAGAGTGAACATTCTCATAAACATTTAATTGAACTCCGCCGGGAATTTAAGAAAAATGTACCTGAGGTACAGTATATTTGCTGTTATAGAATTAACTCAGTAGGAATGCAGATTTTTCTCTGTTCAAGCTATATTTTGCAAACTGTAGACATAAGTGACTAACAAGAAAAGAAGCTAATTAGCCCCAAAGAAAAATTACAGCCCCCAACCTTTTGATGTTTCCTGGTATAGTGGCGCTCAGTGGTGCCAACTAAAGGAAGGGCAGAACGCTTCTCCATTAAAATCACTGGTTTTGAGGGCACTGTGACATGTCCGTCTCCCCCCGCCCGACACACGCATGCATATCTAAGTCCAGTGCTTGGCCTTGTGGCAAAAAAGCTGGTCTAGAGTTCTTGATTTTATCCTGCTTTTCCACTGCGCGATGGCTGCTGTGGACCCTCTGCCACCCTCTTCGGCTCTTCATCGCTCACCATCTTGCAGCCCCTCATCCTTCCCTTTCCCCTCCTGCCCTGCGGTTCCAACAACCAGCTTTGTCTTTCCTGGCTGCCATCGGGGTGGTCCAGAGAATGACCAGGCCCCAGCAATGCAAGGCCCCCAGAGGAGCAGGCGGGAACAGGCGGGAACAGACACGTTCGTGTTCTGTACGGGGGCGAATGTGTGAATTTCTTTCTCTTCTCTATCAGGCCCCCTGTTGCTTCTTGAATTAAGGGGAAAGATGATGGGAATAAGCACAAGTAGGGGAAATAAAGCCCTCTGACTCCATACGATGTTGGCAGGGATGCGGCACATCAGAGCTGTCGTGGGAAACACGTCACAGGGCTCCAAGGCCAGACCTCTCCCAAAGCGAGCTGTGTTTTCCTCTGGCCAGCAGAAGGTTAGCATCTGTCCTTATCTGCTCTGGTGTGCTGGATCTTGAAGGAGGATGGGGCAGGGTTTGACATTCGGATGGGAGACATTGGTTCCAGCAGGTACACTCTGCCTGTCCGAATCACCGGGGGTCTCTTGCGCCGTCTTGCCTATGGGGGAGGGGCGGGCCCAGCCAGGAAGCAGACCACGTGAGCACAGACAGGTTGCACCTTTGAGTCAACCTCAGTCTCTTACCTGCAAAATCCTTCTCGTACAAGTCTCAATTATCTCTGAATCTTCAAGGCAAGAGAGGGGACTAGGATCTAGCTGGAATTTGTCCACAGAGCAAGTCTAGAAGGAAGCTTAGGTTTGGGGGGTTAGCCTGTGTGTGGAAAAGAGGCTTGAATCTCGGATGGCAGAGTGTCTCCTATGTTGTGGCTTCAGGAAGGCCAAGCCAGGTCTTTGGCGTAAACTCCAAGAGCTAAGAAGCCATAGGTTGCTCTGAGGACGCCTCCCTTCCCTTTTAGAACAGAACATGGCTTGGTCTATAAACAAATTTTTCTCCCCAGAATGAGGGCACCTCTGACTCTCCGTTCCCCAGGAAGCAGAGGTGAATCGACCCCAGTTACTCACAGCCCCATGTGCACCCTCTCTGGTCAACTCAGACTCTCCGTCTCATCCTCCCTCCCCTAGCCCAGCGAGCTTTCTCCCCCGGCCACGCGGGAACCCCCAGGTGATGAGGGAAATCCAGGCCAGATTTTAAGCCTTGGAGTTCAGCTTACATAATTTTAATACTGCATAATTATGTAATTATGTAATTAGAAGGAATAAGTTTCCATTCCTATTATAGTTGTGCCTCCGAAAATCTCATTTTTGGATCTAGTCTCTCCTGATAAGAGAGTCACGCCAGGCTTTATTTAAGAACATCCTCTGGCTGGTGCCTTTGCTCAGCGTCCCCCAGTGGCTTAGGCATCAGGGCGGTGGGCTTTTAGAAATGGTTGGCATTAGCTTGAAGCCCCCTCAAACTCTTACCCTTCCAGTGGCACTCAGATTTGAATCCCCTAAGCTCACTTGAGTGTGGGCTTACGAAAAGAGCCTGTTTGGGGAGTCTGGTGACCGGGGTTCAAATTCCAGCTGTGCCACTCACTTATTGTATGACATCAAGCAGTCCAGCTCCTCTTGGGGCCTCAGTTTCCCCTTCTGTAAACTCAGGGGACTGGGTAGATTGTATCTAAGGTCCCATCTTGTACCAACATCTCCTGAACCTAGACCAGAGGTCTCTTGCTGATAGATTTGTCATTTGGTCCGTAAAGTCTTTCAGAGTTTACAGTAAGGGGCCAACATTTAGCATTGCAGAAGATTTTACCTGAAATTGGATTTCCTGGTATCTTTTGAGACTATTTGGTAGATCTTGCAACCCACACTGCCCGTGCTCAGGCGTCAGCCAGAGCAGAACGCGCAGCCCATTCAAGGGGGCTTGTGTCTCCCAGCCTGCCTCCCTCCCGTCCACTCCTGCCTGGCCCGGTGGGCATTTCAGTTCACAACCTGTGACCTAGGTTCTCATGTTTCCTTTTCCACGGCTCAGCCGTGCACCCGTGGCTCTTTGTGATCAAGTCCACTAGGTCCACGTGCACCACCCGTGTCCCTCCCGAAGATCCCCAGTGATTAGGGGTGCCCAGGGCCCCAAAGAGGGACTTTTTCCAGGGGCAGAAGCAACACAGACTTATTTTCATAATTCAGGGGTTTCCTCTTTACCCGAGCGTGTGTGTTCCCCAGCCTGGTTCTTCCTTTCCTGCTCCCCTCACTTGCCTCCTCAGCTCCCCTCCCCTGGGGGTTTCTCGTGGATGTGGCTGGTTGCCGTTGGGAGAGTTACCAGTGGATCTCGGAGGAGATTGGAGGATTAGGGTTGGAATCTTGGGCACATGATTCTAAAAGGCTTCCCAGTTGGGCGCGGTGGCTCACGCCTGTAATCCTGACCCTTAGGGAGGCCGAGGCCAGAGGATCACTTGAGCCCAGGAGTTTGAGGTTGCGGTGAGTTACGATGACACCACTGCACTCCAGCCTAGGTGACAGATTGAGACCCTGTCTCAAAAAAGTGAAATGAAATAAAAAAAGGCTTCCCTCTTACATGCCAGAGAGAGGAACTCATAGGAGTTTGCCAGGGGAGCCCATGGGGCTGGGAACCTCAGGGTCACTTATGAAAGTCAGGAAATTGGGATCTGGAAGTAGGAGGCTTGTGGTGACCAGGACAAACCTCCTTCTGAAGGCAGCCCACATCCTGGGGTTAATCAGACACTTGCAGAGCCCTTCTTCTGAGGTGGGAGCTGAAGGGGAGGGCAGCCAAGGTCCCAGAAACCACACGTTCTGGTGAGCAAGGCGAGTCAGGTACACAGGTGGCATTGCTAAAATGCAAAATGCGGTCTGCTGGTGTGGTGGCACAGGGTGGGGTAGCAGAGGCCACCCAAAGGAGGCAGCCCAGAGCCCAGGCAACCTGGAAGGATGGAAGGTTTTCAGGAAGGAACTTTGATGACTTAGAGCTGATTGTGGAGAATTGGGGCCACCTCTCCAGCCCCCCTTCCAAAGAGTGTCCCGTGAAGGACCACTCAAAGATACTTCTTTGCATAAAAGATCACGCCACCGCTTCTTCTCTCCCTCTTCTGAAAATTCCCAGCGTGCAAGACCCCGAAAAGTCCTTCAGGAAAGAAACCTCTTGGACTTGATGTTTCCCAGTCTGATTTGGCTTGGCACCCCGTGTGTGTGTCCCTTGTGAAAGCCCATGGAGTGCAGATCCCATGGGACATGCTCGGGAAACGCTGAGCCGGGGACAGCAGTGAGCTGCGAGCAGGGGCCGTGGGGGTGTCCCACCTGGCACTGTGGTGAACTCTTCGCTGATCTCTTTTTCAGGAAATCAGAGAGATGGTGGCTCCTGTATTAAAAAGCTTCCAAGCCGAGGTAAGACCCAAGGCCCGCGGCATGTCAGAAAAGGACCCTGGCTCCCCCTCCTACCCCCCAGCATTGCCAGAGGAAACCAGCAGCCTCCGGAAGCGCTGGAGAAGCTTCCCTGCCCCAGCTGCCCCTCCCTTTGGCGTCCCGCTTCTATGGGGTAGCGATGAGGATGGGTTCTCTTGCATTCGGTGGAATTCCAGGGTTGGATCCCAAGAAATCTCTCTCCCCCTCAACTTTGCCCAACCTTATACCGGCTCTGCTACATCTAAGGTCTGTGACCTTGAATAAACCCACCTCACCTTCCAGGCTTGGTTTCCCACTTGTAAAATCATAGCTTTGTACCAGGTGACCCTTGTTCTTCCTCGGCATTCTGCCCTGCTGTGCTTCTCTAAGGCAGCCTTGCAGATAGGTCCCAGCCGTTACCAGCCTGCTCAAGTATCTGTGTACTGACCCTCCCTTCGAGTATAAAATCAACACTGTCCTCGTTCTTTCCTGCCAGCCCACTGGGCCCTAGTTTCTTTGGCAGCAGCTGAGCTGTCCTTGGCAAATCATTTCTCTTGCCTTTCCGGAGCCCTGTGATGGGGTAGAACCTCCCGTGTTTCTCCCCTTTTCTTGACTTTGTAACCAGGTTTGGGACAATGTCCGCTTACCTGGCTGGCACAGGCTGGGAAGTGACTGGAATCACAGGGGTCAGAGGAGTGGGAGTAGAGGCCATTTCTTGAATCTTCCATCTTGAGGGGGCTCTTCTTGGGGTTCCCAGAAGGATTCGCCCTCCCCAGAGCTCAGCGGGGGCTGCACTTGAAGTCTGTCGTCCACCAAGTGCCACGTTCCTTTAAATCTGTCTCTTTGGAACCGCGTAAGTGCATAAGGCTATATTAAAGTAAACGATAAGCGGATTTACACAAATGTCGCTGATTTCCATATTTTTCATCCCTTCATTTTATTACTGAGTTGACTGACATGCTTATGTATTTATAGGGCCATCCAGTATTGATTCATTCGGTTGTGAGTTGCCTGGGCTGGGAAGGAAAAGAAAACCAGAAAGAAGACCAATAATGTTGGGGATGTGTTTTCATGGCTTTGTGTTTCTTTTTTTTTTTTTTTTAAAAAAAAAGAGGTTCCCATCTGCCGATTCCTGGTCCCATGAGGTGCTTAGCACACATGCTCTCTGGCAGCTGATCCCTCCACCCAGCCCAGAGACAGGCACTGAGCTGTTTTGTAGAGGGCGTTGCTTTCTCAGCTGTTCCTGGCTAGGGTTGGTGTGAGCAGAGCTTCTCTTGGCCTCTTAGAGCCTTGATTTTCCCTATCTGTTAAATGGAAATAAAGACATAGATCTCTTTGTGTTGTTTCGAAGATTAACTGAGATAGAAAAAGTGTTTAATGTAACGTCTGGCACACAGAGAGCTTGCTGGGGAGTGAAGAGCACAGATGCTGGGACCAGCCTGGGTTCGAATCCCACCTCTGCCATTTACTGGCTGTGTGACCATAGGCAAATTACTTAACCTCTCTGTGCCTGTGTCCTCATTTGTAAAATGGGATAGTAATTATACTTACCTCATAGGGTGTGATTGGGGAAGAACAAAATTCACACTGATAAAGTGCTTAGAATACTGCCTTGCGTATTAGAAGTCTTGGGTATTTTTTTATTCTTACTGTCGGCGACCTCCAGTACAGATTTATTTGGCCTCTACTATGGCTGGGCTGGAATCTGCCTCTTTCTTAACTAGACATTCAGGGCTTTTTAGAACGGAGCTTTCTTTCCCTGTAGGAAGCAGGCGTGAACTGATGTCATCTTTTCAGTCAAAGAGAGAGTTAAAGGTTAAGTTCAGGTGAGGATCAGGAGAAGCCCGAGTGCAGCCCGGCGGAAAGCTCATGCACGTGGGACTCAGGCAGGCCTGGTTGGAATCTCAGCCCTGCTCCTGAACCAGCTGTGTGGCCTCGGGATGTTCCTTAACCTCCCTCTGAACTCCGGCTTCCCTCTGGCGAAGGAGGCTGACAATAAGGATTCGAAAAACTAAGCAGCTTGGAGGCATCACGGTGTCTGGCACACAGTTGGTGCTCAACAAGTACTGGGGCAGAGAAAGTCTTAGTGGGGCTGAAAGAAAAGACGCAGCTGAATTCTCGTTTTGAAAACCCATGTTGCGTGTTGAATAGACACTGTTTTAATAGCCGGGGATCTTGAAGGAACTTCGTTAATTTTCTTAAGAGGGCTTTCCGTCCTCCCTGTAAAGTACCATAAAGACTACATTTGTCTGGAATTTTATCCCCGAAACCCCTGCTTTCCTCACGATCTACTGACTGCGCCCTGCGGCCGCGTGTCCCTCCCCGCGCGTCGGGGAAGAGACACCGCCGAAGGAAGGTGTTAATAAAAAGCATCTTCTTCATCCAGAACAAGCTGCACATGCACAGGCCGTTTATAATCCAAATTTGATTTTCATTTTAATTTTTTTAATGAGGGCTCATCCTTTATACTGCTTCTCTCTCGCAACCCGCCAGGCTCCGGGCTGGAGCTGTGGATTCCCAAGTGGGCATTAATCACCTCCTGCAAGTATTCCCTGGGGCCAGCACCGTCCCAAGTCACATAAACTAGCCCATAAAACACCGGGGCTGAACATCACACCCGTCGTTCCTTCCTCCCCGACACAGGCCTCTCCTTGAAATACACCACGTTCGAGTTCATTTCTGAATTTCGCTCCACCAGCCCTGGTATATACAGAAGCTGGGCATCTTTTATCTTTTCATATTATATACATGCGGGTCTTTTTTTCCCAGTGTGTATGTGCGTGCGCCAGTGGGAGGGGGCAGAGAGGAAGTGATTTTGCCCTGCTGTGAATCAAGGAAGCTCCTCTCTCTGCCTTGATTGCTTAAAGGACAGTTTTGATTTCCCCTGCTCAGGGAAACAAAGACAGCCGGAGAAGGTGGCTTAATGGAGACAGCTTGAAATGGCCAAAGTTTGAATATCCTTGCGCACAGAGAAAAGAGCAAGACGAAAGCCCCGCTAATTACGAAAGTTGCTTTATGAAAGATAATTCAAAGCAATAATTTAGCAAACATAATCAAGTCGCACAGATGGGGTTGTTGATGGATGGATTGCAACATGCAATTAGCAGTTCTCGCAGTTACATATCATTAACCCTCCGAGCACAAAAATTATTTTCTCATTATTAGTTGAAAAGGTAAAATTAAGCTGACTAGACAGTAAAGGAACAAACTACAATTAATTACCTTCATTTATTACAGTCATTATTTTAAACTTATTTTTACTTGGAGAGAGACATGAAAACATCTAAATTAAAAGTTTTGTTATGCTAAATCAGAGGTGAAACTTTTCTAAAGAGTGTGTGCACCGGTCCAGCTAGCTAGGAAGACCACAGAGCCGCTGCTGGGAGATTTCCTTTTCCTCTGCTTCCTCCTCCTCCCACCACGGAGGGGATGTGGCCTGCGTGGTGGGAAACCCTTTTGTTTGGATTGGAACAGAGACGTTCACCTGGGCCTGATTGACACACAGTAGTTGGGCAACCAAGAGGGCTGACATGATCTTTGACCCCCAGGGGAAACAGGAGCATGTGGTGGCCAGACACGTGTGGTCTGGGTCCCACCCTGACACTGACAAGCTTGTGTGACCTTAGCAAGTGACTTCCTGTCTCTGATCCATTGTTTCCTTATCTGTAAATAGGGACAGCTCATAGGATTGCATGAGATTCAGTGAGATTCTGTGTGTCAGGTGGCTGGTTAGTTACATGTTCTCAACATGGCATGTGTGTATGGCTGTGTGGGGCCTAGAACCTTCTCCCTCTGCCCTCCGCCTTCTTTGACCAGTAAAACATGGCAGAAGTGACATTGTGCCACGATCAAGCATAGCCCTTAGCCTGCCTGGTGGCTTCACTTCCTGCCTCTTCAAACTCATCCTTCCTGTGAGAAGTGTGACCGCCCTGAGACCACCCTGCCGTGAGAAGCCCACAGGGAGAGGCCTTAGGGGATGGGACATCACGTGGAGGAGAGGGGCCAGGAGCACTGAGGCACCAGACTCAAGTCAAGGGGCCACGCTGGGACATCCAACCCAGTCAAGCTGGCAGATGACTGTAGCCCCAGCTGCCATCCCACTGTGACCACCTGAGCAACAAGAGAGAACCGCCCAGCTGAGCCCAGTCAAGCCCCAGAACCGTGGGAGATACTAAGAAGTTGTTGTTTTGAGGCACTACATTTTGGGGTGGCTGGTCGCACAGCAGTGGATGGCCAGATCCCCCAGGTTTATAGCGTGCCAACTCTCCTCCCTACTTCTCCTCTGCTGTCTTCTCCCTCCTTTTTTCTTCTACCTGTTCTTCCCTTTTCTTTTCTACCCCCTGCCCCTCTCCCTCAGACTTTTTGGCAGATTTTAGCCTTGTGAAAATTTTTCTCCCACTGCTGAGTTCTTAGGCCTCTATCTATACAGAGTGCAGCCTTCTCTGCTAATTCCAGAGGGACAGTGACAGGTGCTCCTAGGGAAGCCATCACGACCCTGCGGCAGAAGCCAGGGCACGTGGAACACACATGATGCCTCAGCGTCAGGCCTGGCATTGCCCTCCAGGTGCCCTGGCTGCTGCCCAAGGACCCAGGTGAGGAGTGAGCAGCTCTCAGACTTTTGTCCCCTCTCCTTTGGATTTGTCCTCATGGGATCGGGGTGCCTAAGACAATCCGACAGAGCACAGACCCAGTGGAAGTTGTGTTTGTTGAGGAGCAGAGAGGAAATGCTGGGATAGGGATTCCCAGGAAGCAAGAGAAGGGATCTTGCTGCCTCCTCCATGAGTGGGTTGGTGGTGGAGTGGGGCTCGGTGCCCAACTCAACAGCTCCCAGCCTCAGGGGATGTTTGTTGGATGAGCAAACGACCCAGTCAGTCAATCAACAAACAGATATGGAAAATCCCGATGGAGCCAGTCACCCTTGACTGTGCCATCTGTGAAGTGGGTGGTGAGATTTGCCGGCCTGATTCGTGTGGGTTTCGGGGTGCCCGCTGGTTAGAGGTGCT